GCGCTACCGCTTGAGCCACATCCCCAGCCCCTATATATTTTTTTGGTACTGGGAGTTGAACTCAGGGGCACTCAACCACTGAGCCACATCCCCAGCCCTATTTTGTATTTTATTTAGAACAGGATCTCACTAAGTTGCTTAGTGCTTCACTGTTGCTGAGGCTGGCTTTGAACTCATGATCCTCCTGTTTCAACCTCCCAAACTGCTGGGATTATAGGCATGTGCCACTGCACCCAGCTCAAAGAAATTTTTAAAAAAAGAAAAGTCACAGGCTGTGGCTGTGGCTCAACGGTAATGCACTTGCCTGGCATGTGTGAGGCATTGGGTTCGATTAATAAATAATAAAAATATAGATAAATATAAATACATATAAATAAATAAAGGTCTATCAACAACTATATACATAGACTGGGGATGTGGCTCAGTGGTAGAGCACTTGCCTGGCATGTACATGACCCCAGGTTCCATCCTAAGTTCCATAAAATAAATCATACTTACAACCCAGCAACTGCACTCCTAAGTATCTATCCAGGGGAAATGAAAACATACACGTGGACAGCAATTTGAGTTTAAAACAATCATATTTTTCTTTGATGCTCATTTAGAAACAATCCAGATGTCTATCAGCAGATAAGCACTTGGCCATGAGGAGCAATGAAGCACGCTGTACGCCACAAACCTCTAGAAGAGCAAATGCCACAGCTGCTTCTACGCTCTCACCACACAAATCGCCCCAACCCCAGATGCAGGGGTTTCCAAGCAACTCCAGTGTTCGCTCTCAGGTGTCCCCTAATTCAGTGAACCTGTGAGCTCACAGGTTGAGGGCTTAGTCCTCAAGACTTACCCCCACTTCAGATGTCAACTGCAAGCCCCTGTGTTTCTTACCAACCAGCTACAAATCAGTGTTCCCACAGCCTTCTCCCCAGGTTGGACTAATCCACTCAAGCAGTTAACAGAACTCATAGAAACATGTCTTCTGGTCCATTCTCAAGGAAATTTCAAAGAATATGGATGAAGAGATGCATTGGGCAAGATATAGCTTCCTTGCCCTCTCGGTTGTGTGTCCTTTTGTGTGTCTGAAGCAGGTACAGCCATGTCAAAATGTGATTAGACAGGTGCACCTTGTAATCCCAGCAGCTTGGGAGGCTGAGGCAGGAAGATCACCAGTTCAATGCCAGCCTCGGCAACTAAGTGAGGCCCTAAGCAACTTAGCGAGACCTCATCTCTAAATAAAATATAAAAAAAGGGCCAGGGATGTAGGGATGTGGCTCAGTGATTAAGTGCTGCTGGCTTCAATCCCTGGTACCAAAAAAAAAAAAAAAGTGATTGGACAAAGTCCTAATAGAGTAAGGAAACCTGGTAGGACCTACCTGTTGAGATCATCTTGGTCCCTCTGCAAACATTGCTGTCTCCAGGGGCTTACCTGTCAGAAAGGCAGGGGAAGATTCTACTATACAACAAAGTGGATCAGAGGTTGCCTGGGACTGGGCAGGGAGCTAACAGGTGAGGAAACCTGGGCAGCGGGAGTGCACTGAAGCTGGATTATGGTGAGGCCTACAGGGCCACAGAAAGCCGACTCCAGCCTATACTTACAGCATACGATGATATAGCAATTAGTTGACACCTCCATAAATATATTTTCTAAAAAGAAATCTGACGTTGGGACACAGGGTGGGTTTTTATTTGTTTGTTTTTCTTTTCCCGGGGCCAAGGACTAAACTCAGGGCTTTGTGTGTGCTAAGCAAGCACTCTCCACCAAGTCCCCAACCCCAGGACATATGGTATCAAAGTAGGACACCAATATAATTTATCATCCAAGCAGAACAGTTTTTAGAATGAAAGAAATTGTTATTCATAGGTACACAAGGAGACGGAGGTACAACTAAGACCACTTTCACCAAATGGAATTGAATAGTTAGTGCCCCTTTCTGTCCCTTTTTTTTTTTTTTAACATGCTGAGGATTGACTCCAGGGCCTCTGCAGGGGCTGAACAAGCACTCTATCCCTGAGCTCCAGCCCAGTTCCAGTAATTCCCCCTTTAAAAAGCCAGTGTCAACCAGCCATTCACCAGCAACAGGTAGTGCTGCCTGCCGTGCACAAGGCCTATGGAGGAGGAGAGAAACACACTGAACACGCAGACACGCCACTGGCCTCTCACACTGAATGGTCTAATGGGAATCAGAGCAGAAGCCAGCAGTGACCAGCACCATGCTAAGGATGCCAGCCAGGAAGAGGGGACACCTCCTGTGAGCTGAAAGGGCAAGCTGGAAGGAGCCAGAGAGGTGACACAAGTAAAATCATGTGTCAGAACCCCAGGCCCAGTTCTGGAGCCAGAAAGCAGTCTCTGGAACCTAGTGGACTGCAGGGAGAGGGGGAGGCAGGCGAGTCCTTGCCTCACTGGTGTGTCTGGTGAAGAGGCGCTGCACAGCTGATCTTGCAGAGTGGTCAGTCACCCGCAGACCACCATGTGGGGCTCGAGCAAAGACAGGGCTGCTCCTCCACCTTGGCTGCATCTCACCCCTGGGACATAAGCCCAGACGGAGGCCCGTGGTCCCAGTCATTGTACTGGAATGCTCTAGAAAACAAAGCAATAACTGAGTGGTGGTGCATGCCTGTAGTCCCAGTGACTCAGGAGGCGGAGGCAATCTGTGGAGCCCAGGGGTTCCAGGCCAGCCTGGGCAACACTGCCAGATCCCATCTGAAAGCAAACAAACTAAAAAACATGGATATTTGTAACAGGACATGCTGGACACCCCACTCCCAAGGGAATGCAGAAGTGGCAGTGAGGGGAGAGGCAGTGATGGGGGGTGAGGTGTGCCTGGCTCTGCCATCATCAAATGGGAATGTTGTTTTTTCCATGTGTCCCCAGCTCAGGACAAGCTCTGGGAACCACTTAGGAGAGCCATGCTTTTACCTCTTAGGAAGGTTTCAAAGAAAGCTGGGAGAATTTTCTTCCCAATGTAATTTGTGACTCCTCTATTTTTTTTTTTTTTTTTTTTTTTTTTGCGTGTGTGGTACCAGGGAGCTGGGCACTCCCTCACTGAGCTAAATCCCCAGCACTTTTTATTTATTTATCTTTAGTCTGAGACAGGGTCTCACTAAGTTGCTGAAGCTGGCCTCAAACTTGTCATCCTCCTGCCTCAGCCTCCGGAGTCCCTGGGATTGATGGCATGTACCAGCATATGTCCCTTCATTCTGAGTACTATCCATTAAAAAAGAGAATGGAGATAAGAAAGGATGGTCCCTCTCCTCACCCACCATGAGGGTCACAGCGAATACCTCCTGTAACGAATCACTGGTTAACAAGACAAAAGCATAACAGATTTATTTAAGCCAAGTTTTACACAACACAGGAGCCTTCAGAAATGAAGATTCCAAAGACCCTGGAAAACTGGTTATTTTTATGCTTAGGTCCAGTGAGGAATGGACAGCCAAGAAGAAAAGTGGTTGCACAGAGAGTCTAACCTAGTGGTGACAGACTGAGAGGGGACTCAGCAATTCCTGCCCAGCTTCTTTCTAGGCTTCTCTGCACAGCACTCCTTCTTTCCCCAGGGATGGGTCAGGACCCCTCTGGAACCCTACCACAGACAAGGTAGGCTGTGGAATTCCTTTATGGGCAGTTCCTGCCCCAAAAGGTAGGAGAACCAGGCTTGGGGGGGTACTTGAGTGGTACAGTGCTTGCCTAGCATGTGTGAGTTCAATTCCCAAAACACCAAAAAAAAAAAAAGTAGATTTGAGTAATATTTCTAGGATTTTATGGCTGGCTTTAGGGAAGTGGGGTTCTAGTCTCTATGACCCATTTTAGGGAAGAGGAATTCTGGTTTGCAGAATTCCCTCCAAAGGAGTAAGAGAGCTGAGACAGGAAGACCTGAGGTCAGAAAGACCTTGATCAGGCCTTTTTGGTTTCTTCAGTCCAAAGTATTCAGCACACCAAGGTGCCGGATTTGGAGGGTCTGGTGCTCTGGGCCTCAACAATAGAAGCTAATACACAAGTACCAAATGCCAGGCACAAGTTCCCATTTGCTTAATTTAAACTTCTAGCTACCATGTGAGGTTGTATCATTTCTCTTACTGAAGGACTCGATAATTTGCCCCTGGGGATGAAGCTCAGTGGTACAGTAACCTGGGTCAATCCCCAGCACCAACAAAACAAACTTTCAAAAACTTTCCCAAATCCCACAGCTAGAAATGAATGGAGGGCTGGGGCTGTGGCTCAGCAGTAGCACACTTACCTGGCATGTGTGAGGCACTAGGTTTGGTTCTCAGCACACATATAAATAAATAAAATAAAGGTTTATCAACAACTAAATATACATATATGAAATGAATGGAAGCAGAATGAGCTATCAGCGTGAACCCAAACCCATTCTTTCCCCTCTTTATCAGGCAGTCTCCAAGAACTAAAGCCCAGCATCTGATCTGACATCTGTGAGAACTTACTGCCCTACCACATGCATCTGTGTCTGAAAACCAGATGTGAATGAAGGGAACCTTGGAGAGCAAGCTGTCTCCAAGAGGCTGTTCTCCAGTAGCTCTGTCACCACGGGACTCAGCGAGTCATCTCTCAGATATAAGTTGAGTTGAGCTAGACAGTGGTTCTCAAACTTCTTGGTCTTAGTACCACTTCACACTCTTAAAACTTATTGAGGACCCAAAGAGTTTTTGTTAAGTAAATTATATCAGAATATACAGTTTTTAAAACTGAAACTCAGAAACTTTTAAAAAACAGTTTCCTGGCACTGATCATGGTGATGCTCACCTATCATCCCAGCAACTCAGGAGGCTAAGGCAGGCGGATGGGGAGTTGGAGGCCAGCCTGGGCAATTTAGTAAGAACTTGTTTCAAAAATAAAAGGGGGCTAGGGTGTAGCTCCGTGATAAAGCAGCCCTAAGTTAAACACACACACACACACACACACACACACACACACACACACAGAAGAAAACCAATTTCTTTAAAACAAGAAATTCACTAAGATCAATACTGTTGACATTTTCCAAATGTCTTTAATGTTTTGGCTTAAGGTTTGCCGTTCCGTATCTGCCTCTGCATTTAATGGGGTCCATTTCCTAGGTCCTGTGGCCTCTGTACAACGGGATCGGGTGGCACATACCTGTGATTGCACCGACTAGGGGGGAGGCTGAGGCAGGAGAATCAGAAGTTCAAAAGCTAGCAATTTAGCGAGACCCTGTCTCAAAAAATAATTTAAAAAGAACTGGAGGCGTGGCTCAATGGTTAAAGCGCCCCAGGGTTCAACACCCGGTATCAACACACACACACACTCACACACACACACACACACACACACACACACACACACACACACACACACACGCCAGACGGGGCTGGATGGTCCCCAAGTCTTGATCAGCAAGACTCAGTCCTGGCCCCATCACACTCCAACCCCTACGTCTACTGCCTGCTCTCTACGGCTCATTTTCTTCACCGGCAGAAAGCGGGTGCCCGGTTTCACACCGGATCGCTGAGGGTCCACACTTCCTGTCCCCACTCCCCGTGCCGCATGGCAGGACGAATAGACCTGGCCCCTGCCCGGCAGTCGAGGGACACGACGTGAGTGCCCCACAGTGCGAGGCAGTGATGGGAGGAAGCAGCGATGGACTCGAGCAAAAGGCATCTAGGTGCTCGGTGGTCGCTGGAGCTCCTCCTCCGCGCGGCGCTGCAGACCCGGGACGCGAGCGCCAGCGGGGAGCCGCGGGCCGCGGACCACGTCGACTTAGCGGGTCGAGGGCGCGGCGCTGCGGCCTGGCGCGCCGGAGGTGTCATCGAGGTGCTCGGTGCTCTACTGATTCGGCCCCGGGGGTAGGCGTGCCCGTTTGCTCTCAGGTGGTGTAACAGGCGCCGGAGAGAACCAATGGCATGGTTAAAGACTCCGCCCCTTCCTTCTTATTGGCTGGCGCTGAAAGCGGGGCGGGGAACGGCGCAGGCTCCGGGGGCCAGCGGGAGCCGGACTTCAGCGCACTTGCCCGCGAGCTGAGAGCTGTCCGTGCCTCTCCCTCTTCGCTTCTGCTCTGCCTGTCGCCGCCATGGCTCAGTGAGTGACCCTCCCGCGCCGCAGGGCTCGGCTCGGCCTGCCGGGACGCCCCGGGGGCGGGTCGGCTTGGTCCTCTCCCGCGCGGGTCGCCTGCGCCTGCCGCGTGGGGCCCGGACCCGACCTAGGGCCGGGGAGCTCCCGGTGCCGCTCTTCGGACGCGGCCTGGGGCGGGTCCCTTCTGGGAGCGGTGGAGGCTTGGAGGCTCCCGTCCCGCGGGGACCGCTGCGCGACTGCCTGCAGACCACACCTGACCGTGCACTGCGCCTGCAGTGAAAGTGATGGCCAGAGTCTGGGCAGGAGCGAGGCTTCGCGGGCGCTAGCGCCCATTGCAGCTCAAGAGGTCCCGCGGGGGAAGGTGCCTGGCCTCACAAGTGCAGATGGGGAGGGGTACGAGGGAAAGTCCGTCACCAATCCCGCCGAAGTGATCGAGTGGCACTGACATTTTTCTTTGTTCTTTCTCTGGCTTTTCAGAGCTGATATTGCACTGATTGGATTGGCCGTCATGGGCCAGAACTTAATTTTGAATATGAATGACCATGGTTTTGTGGTAAGTGGTGGGGACACAGTGCCTTCCCTGTGGATCCTCTTGTGCATTAGCACAGTCAGCCCAGTTCCCAGATCCCACGGAATCCGAACGTGCTTTATTCAAGATCGCTTTTGCTTGCGGCTCATGGCTTGCTTTTTTTTTTTAAGTTTTAGTTGTAGGTGGACACAACGCCTTTAGTTTATTTATATGTGGTGCTGAGGATCAAACCTGGTGCTAGGCAAGCGCTCTATCACTGAGCTACAACCCCAACCCTTTATTTCTTATTTTGAGACAGGAACTTTTTAAGTTGCCCAGGCTGGCTTCGAATATGTGATCCCCTTGTCTCAGCCTCCTGAGTTACTGGGATTACAGACATACCCCATCAGCATTTATGGAATTTTGGAAAAGAAGAATTGTCACTTTAGTTGTGGGTGTGGAAGGGTGTGCTTTAGAGGAAGAGGACTCCTGTAAGGTTCATTATTTTCAGTAGAGATGAATGGGAGGGAGGAGAGCTCCTGCTGGGTGTACAGCTTTGATGCCCTTTTTGGTGCTGGGGATTAATCCCAGGGTTCTGCACAAACTGGACAAGCGCTCTACCACAGGGCTAATCCCCATCCCTTTAAAAAAAGAAAAATTGAGATGGCTAACTTGCAGTTCTCAGCTTACCCAGTAGCTGGGGTTACAGATGTGTGCCACTACGCACAGCTAGAGCCAACCGCATTCCCTAGTGAGATCGGGGGAGAATTAATTTTATTTTATTTATTCACGTTTTCTGAGACAACTTCTCATTGTGTTGCCTAAGCTGGCCTCAAACTCCTGGCTCTAGTGATCCTCTTGGCTTTAGCCTCCTGAATTGCTGGGACTACAAGTGAGGGCAACCAGTGAGATCTAAATGTTATTTCTAGATACTCAAGTGGCTTAGCTGCCAGGATTATCAGGGACAAAAGGGGTTAGGGGTGTAGCTCAGTGGTGGAGCACTTGACTTATGTGTGTTAAGCCCTGGGTTCAATCTCCAGCACTGGAGGAAAAAAAAAAAATCAAATACAGAGACTGAACCCCATGTTCCTAGATTCAGTTCTGATTCTGAACCAGTAGGGAAGGTTCAGCCTGATGTGCTGTGGGCAGTTGGTCTTTGCCTCAGTCCTCTGCTGTGTGTCCCAATGAGGGGAGTTAACCATTGGGATCAGCCTGCAGGTGGGGGAGGGAAAGGCAAAGGCAGATGGGGCCTCCCCCACCTGGGGCTGAATAGAACTTGCATTGTCACTTGGTCTCTGGTCCCAGTGTGTCCTGTCACTAAGCAGGTCTTTTGTTGCTTTAGGTCTGCGCTTTTAATAGGACAGTCTCCAAAGTTGATGATTTCTTGGCCAATGAGGCCAAGGGAACCAAAGTGGTAGGTGCGCGGTCCTTGGAGGAGATGGTGTCCAAGCTCAAGAAGCCCCGGCGCGTCATACTGCTTGTGAAGGCTGGCCAGGCCGTGGACGATTTCATTGAAAAACTGGTGAGGCCAGTTGCTCTCAGCTGCTGCTTCTGTCACAGTTGCTGTTGTGTCTCCTAGCTGTTTTACTTCAGAGATTTCTTTAGTTTCCATTTCTGGATATGAACTGTTCAGCTCTCTGTGTTGGTTAACTTGATTGGTGCTAATTAAGTCCTAGTATATCCTTGGGGTAGTCAGGGTGGTAATAACTAGAGGACACTTAGGAGACATTTCAATAAGAATTTGCTGACTGTAAGAATCTGAACCACAGCAGTCCATTAATGGTCTTTCTGTCTTTGATATTCAAAGAGATCTTATTAGTGTCCATTCCCCAACCCCACACAGGGGGTGAACCCAGGCCTCCTGCCTGCCAGGCACAAGCACATACTCCACCACCAACCCCGAGATCTTGCAGTTTGATTGCATAATACAACAATTCTTAACGAGTTGTATAATTTAGTATGAACCATAAGAGATTTCCTTAGGGAATCCTAGGAACTGGGTACTTATTTTGTACCAATTTGTTGGCTTTAGCACTTGTATTTTTTGAAGGGTGCTGGGGATTAAACTGAGCCACATCCCCAGCCCTTCTTATTTTGAGACAGGATCTTACTGAGTTGCCCAGCGTGGCCTCGGACTTGCAATCCTCCTGCCTCAGCCTCCCAAGTCACTGGAATTACAGGCATGCTTGCTCTGCTAGCAGTTATATCTCTTTTGAAAGAAAAAATAATACTCATGAATGCTGGGAAGGAGGGCAACTAATTTATTTAGATACTCAAAAATGCTACAGTAACAGCTCTGAAAAAAAAACAAGGCACTACTGCCCAACATGTAGTTGTAAGAAAGGCAGAGACGAGCAACAAAAGGAAGGGGAGGGTTTTTTTGTTTGTTTGTTTTGTCTTTTTTGGTACCAAGGATTGAACCCAGGAGTACTTAACCATGGAGCTACATCCTCAGCCCTTTTTTTTTTTTTTTTTTTTAATTTTATTTTTTTATTTTAAGAGAGAGAGAGAGAGAGAGAGAATTTTTTAATATTTATTTTTTAGTTCTCGGTGGACACAACATCTTTGTTGGTATGTGGTGCTGAGGATCGAACCCGGGCTGCACGCATGCCAGGCGAGCACGCTACCGCTTGAGCCACATCCCCAGCCCCCTTAGCCCTTTTTATTATTTGTTTTTTTTTTTTTTTTTTTAAAGAAAGAGTGAGAGGAGAGAGAGAAAGAGAGAATTTTTAATCTTTATTTTTTAATTCTCAGCGGACACAACATCTTTTGTTGGTATGTGGTGCTGAGGATCGAACCCGGGCCGCACGCATGCCAGGCGAGCGCGCTACCGCTTGAGCCACATCCCCAGCCCCTATTATTTGTTTTTTTGAGACAGGGTCTCACTAAGTTTTTTAGGGCCTTGTAGTTGATGAAACTGGCTTTGAAACTGTGATCCCCTGCCTCAGCCTCCTGAGCCACTGGTGCCAGTTTTCTGTTCTGGCGACTAAAAGGCTCAGGGGTCACTCCAGGTAAACTGGGCTGACTGGGCTGCGCAAAATAACCACACAAGAGACACCATACCGTTTTATTTGGGGTCTCTGTGACAGCTCCTCTGACCTTAAGGGTCTGCAGGAAGAGAGCGAGAGCTCGCGCTGACCCCTTTTATTGAGGAGAAGCTGTTCAAATGAGGCAAGGGGTCAGGTTTCAGGGGGCTGAGTCTATCTTCATGATGTCCACTGTCAGCAGGTTGACTGACACCTGGGTAGGCCACACCCAAGGACACAGTAAGAGAAGGGGACACACACAAGGCCCTTCCATGGAAGATTCTATCCTAAACAGGGCAAGGGGTTATATTACAAAGGAACAGGTGAGCGTAGCTCCACTCATGGGGCTGTAACAAGACACACCCATGCACAAGACGTTGACCCTTGAACCCAAGAAGGGTGGGGAAAGCTCTGCCACATTTCTGTGACTGAGCGCCTCAGCACCCAGCCGGGGAGTGTGACTCAGTCATGTGCAAGGTTGGTCTCCCACAACTGGGATTACAGTTGTATGCCACCATGCCTGGCCTCAAGCCTTCCTTTTTGAGAAAGTGGTGTTAACAGTGGGTTTTCAACAAGAAGAGGAATTTGTAACCACTGTGCTATCATTTTTTAAATAAGTGGCCTAGAAAGGAAGGACTCTGTGATAAAGAAAAGACATACTGAGCCATTTGTGTAGCGAGAGGCCAAGCTGCCCATGACTAGACCCAGTGTGCTGTGTCTTCAACATAGGAAGGTATTACAGGTGGGAGGGAGACTGAGCAAGAACTAATGAAGCCCGCCTGCTGGGTGCTCTCTGGGGGTGTTGTTGAGTTCTTCCTGCCAGCAGCAGCTGGGGAGCTGCATTTACCCGACCCTGACCCACTGGGGGAGTACGGACTCAGCTTGCCTCTGGTGCAGCACAGGTTATACCAGAAGCCTTTTCATCTCTTAGAGCTAGTCCCCCCTAGACTTTGAGTTTGTATAGGTGGTACCCATGGAGGTACAAATTTTCCAGGTAAGTTTTAATTTTTGTAAAGTCTTTCATTTATTTATTTGGTTCCACAGATTGAACTCAAGAGTGTTTACCACTGAGCCACATCCCCAACCAACCCTTTTTATTTCATTTTGAGACAGGGTCTTGCTAAATTGCTAAGGCTGGTCTCGAACTTGTGATCCTCCTACCTCAGCCTCTTGTTATTGGGATTACAGGTGTGAGCCATCACATCCTGCCCAGCCTTACACTTTTAAGCAAGATGTAGCTGTAGCCATAGAGGATTATTGAAAATTAAATAATGTATGCTTTTTCATAGTGTTTATTTGGGATAAATTCTTGTTTGTTTAAACTGGCCAAGGTATATTTTATTTCTGTCTTTGATCCACCCTAATGCTAATGTCTGATTACAGGTACCATTGCTAGATGCTGGTGACATCATCATTGATGGAGGAAATTCTGAATATCGGGATACCATAGTAAGTGTTCTTCAGGCCAGACCCTTCCACGTGCTGACAGCACTCTAGAAAGAGGTGTGCGAATTGCTCATGTGACACTGTGGTGAACTGCCCTGTGGTCCTGATAGTTTGGGGCTTGGTGCTGGTGTGCTAGTACTCAGCCTTTTCCTGCTTAGACACACCTGACGAATAAGGTTCTCAGTCACACCTGCAGCTGGGAATGACAACTGGTAGATTCGGCAGGCTGTGTCTGCTGTCCCCTCCCTTTCTGTCAGCGTGTTCTGTGTTTGAGAACCTCTGAGCTGTCGTCCAGGGCGTCCTGCGTGGTCGGAGGCGCTGAGTGGCGGTAAGGCGTGCTTGCAGTCAGCCTCCTCTGTTTTGTTTGTGGGTTTATTTGGCGCAGGGTATCGTATCCCGTGCACCCCTAGGTGCCCAGCCCTTTTTTTTTTTCTTTTTTAAACATTGAGAGGTCTCCCTAGGTTGCCCAGGCTGGCTGTGAACTTGGGGTCCTGACTCAACCTCCCGAGTGGCTGGGATTCCAGGGGTGCGCCACTGTGACCAGCTAGACCCACTCTGAATTCAGTGTGTCTCACTGTGCGAGACCTTGTCCAGTAAAGTGGGGGGGGGGTGGCTTTATTATTTTCCCCAAGGAGACAGGATAGATATCTAGAATACTCCTCGAGCTGTTTGTTTTTCGTGGCCGCACTGAGGGGATTGAGGTTCCGGGTACATCAGTGATCCTCAGATCTGTGGGTCACTCCGGGCAGCAGGGGATGTCTGGACCTGCCCTGTACCTCATCTCACTCACTGGAAGGAAGTGAATTTTTTGAAATTGTTATTCTCTCTTTCAGAGGCGATGTCGAGACCTCAAGGCCAAGGGAATCCTGTTTGTGGGGAGCGGAGTGAGTGGTGGCGAGGAAGGGGCCCGGTATGGCCCCTCGCTCATGCCGGGAGGGAACAAGGAGGCGTGGTGAGTTCCCTCGGCACCACCCAGAGCAGCTCTGAGCCTGGCCTCTTCCTCCTGCACCTGCGTTCCTCTGACGTGGTGCCTGTGCACGCGCCACCCTTGCCCTCCTCCGCTTACTCCCTGCGAGACGAGCCGATGCTGGGGGTCCGACAGGCTTGTCTTGGGCACTGACCGTGGGTGTCAGGCCCACGGTCACTCGTGTGGTCTGGAAGTGACTCCAGTAATTGCGAGTAATGGGAAAGTCTGATGAGACCTGGGAAGGAGGCAGACGTTCTTTTACTTGGGGAAAAAGCAAACTTGATGCTGTTCACTCTGCTCCACCTAGAGGAAGGGGAGGCCTTTGCTGGGTGGACTTGGGATGCGGACACCTAAGAGGCGACAGTGTGGGTAGGAAGATGCAGACAGAGGGACGCGAGTAGCAGACCGTGCACAGCGTGGATGAGACAAACCCTGCTGCTAGACGCAGGAAAGAGGAAGCCAAACGGTGCTCAAAGCAACAGTGAAGGAGGGACCCTGTGGGGGGGTGGGAAGGGAGTGTGACTCCAGGTGTCGATTCCCAGGTACCCCAGAGCTGTATCAGGTAAGCGCAGGACCACTGACAGCTAACCCTGAGCCATGGAGGGTTGATTTCAGAAGATTGTCTTTAAGTTATCTCTGATGCATGAGTCTGGGAGTCTTTTCGGCGTGTTAAAATGTGGAGGTGGAGAGCCCTCCTGCTTGTCAGAATCTTGAACACCCTAACCCTGGGGCGCCTCCTATGGCTCTTGGATGGTGGCTCCTGGAGACTGCTGGGGTGCAGAAGTGCTCCTGTCCTCGGGCTGCTCTGGCATCAGCAGAAATGGCCCTTTCAGGGCTGGGGAGTAGCTCAGCAGCAGGGCGCATGCCTGGCAAGCATGAGGTCCTGAGTTCCATCCCCAGTGCGACAGAGGAGTAGGGGAAGAAATGAAAAAGAGAGAAGTGGCTCCTTTGCTGCAGGACGCACTAACTGTCAGTGGCGCTCAGAGGTTCAGGTGTGCCCGTTGCAGCCCAGTCCTGGGTGAACCCTGTCGGATTTTGTGTCTGCTGAGGACTTTCTTTGGCAGTGCTGGGGATGGCAGCCAGGCCCCTGTACGCTGGAGGTGACCACTGTGCCCTGGTGCTACGCCCCAGCCTACTGAAGCTCTGAGGCTTTCCTGGTCAGCAGCGGGTAGGGCAGGGAGGGAGTTAGTGGAGCTCTGGAAGGGACCACGAGGAGCTGCTTGCTCTCCGAATAAGAGCGGCTCTTAAAATGTTGCGCAGTCTGTCTGGACTTGGATGGACGGCGCAGGATCGTGCTGTGCCTGGTCTTAAGGAGCTGTCACGAGGCCTGTTCTTGGGAATCGCGGCTCATTCTGATGCTACCGTGGAAATTTCTCTGGTGTCTGTGTACGCGCACGCGCATGTGAGCTGAACCACACCGTTCTCTCCGCAGGCCTCACATCAAGACCATCTTCCAGGGCATTGCTGCAAAAGTGGGAACTGGAGAACCCTGCTGTGACTGGGCAAGTTCCGGGCCACCCTGGAAGCCAGCTGGCAATGTCTGAGTGCCGAGTCAGAGCTGAGTGCAGAGCACCTTGTCATCCCAGGGGTTAGCTGTGTGACTCGAGGCCCTGGCTGATGCTGAGCGCACGCCTGTGTCTTTATGTGTGCACGTCTGTTGGCCCTTGCAGGGTGCCAAGCGGCTTTCCTCACTCAGCTGAGAGTCTGTAAAAAGGAAGAACTGCTTAGCCATGTTATTTCATGGCCAGAGAAGTCAAAACCGAAGTGGGGTTTGCTGCTGGGGTGCAGGAGGGGCTTGGATGGCTTCTGCTGCCGTGTCCTGCCCAGCATGTGGGAGAATCCTGAGCCTGGGGATTTGGGTTTTCTGAGTGACAAGCGCATAGACCCTCACTGCATGGCGGAGGCCAGGGCCAGCTCAGACCCCCCCCTTCCTGTGTTTCCTGTTGCTGGAAGAAAACTCTTTAGGTGGGAAAGAACGGCAGCCTGGGGCAGACAGGCATTGTTGTTCTGGTGTCAGTTATAGCTGGTGTTGTGACAGCAGGCATGCCAGTTTCCCCATGGACTTTGGTTTCTTTTTCTGGACAGCATGGGGGTTGGGCTAGATGATCCTCAAGGTCTCTCCAGCTCCTGACCCCTTTCTTTTTCTATCAGCTGTTTTATGTGCTGCGATTATTATTATAGTTTTATTTGAGGTGAGGCTCGAGGGATGCGTGGTGACAGCAGCCATTTCCCCAGGGGCCAGCATGGGTGCAGCCTCTGCCGAGGGTGGAAAGTTTGGCTGTGAAGGGCTGAGCAGTCTTCTCCTCTAAAGGGCTAGAAGGGACTTTTGTTCCTTGACTACACCACAGACACAGTGTGGCGAGAGCAACTTCTGCTTGGATACACCTAAGATAAGTCACAGGTCACAGCAGACTGCACTGTCTGGATCAAGCCAGGTTGACCTTCCTGGCCTCCAGGGGTAGGCTCAGGTCTCCGAAAAAAACGTCAAGAGACTAAAGCAGGCGCCCCTCAGCTCACTGTTGAAGTAACAGGAAGGGTGAAGCAAGCTGTGATTGGCCACAGCGCTGTGTGGCCAGTGTCACCATCAGAAGGGGCTGGTCAGCCAGTGGGAGCGCAGGCAGATGAGGTCTCGGTGAACAGCATGGTGTAGATCCACGTGACCACAGGGAGAGACCCCACGCCCCAGGCAGCTGCATCCCTGTCGTGCAGTGGTGCGTGTGACTGCAGGCCCTGGGGCCAGGCAGGATTGGACTCCTTACTTTGTGCTTTTAACTTGCCCACAAGACAATTTCAGAAATTTTGGCTTCCCAGGTAGTGTATCTGTAGGGACAGAATGTATTGATCTTATCACCACTAAGATCCCTTGTTAAGTTTCCCATTGTAAATTCAGATTCTGTGTTCTGATTTTACTCCAACATCCAGGATGGGAGCCAGGAGAGCACACTCCAGATGTCCCAGGGTTGGGCCAGAATGTGGCACCGAGGCCATTATCCTCAGCAGTCATTACAAAAAGTACACTTATGTCCAGAAGAAAGTACAAGTGGTTTAATTAGCCTATTTATTTATTAATGTGGTCATAGCGTAGTTGGGCCCAATATCTTTATTTATTTTATTTTTATGTGGTGCTGAGGATCGAACCCAGGGCCCTACACGTGCTAGGTAAGTGCTCTACCGCTGAGCCACAACCCCAGCCCTAGCCAGTTTATTTAAACCTCCAGTTGCCAAAAAAACAAAAACAAAAACATAAGTTTGGGGCTGGGGCTGGAGCTCGGAGGTAAAGCGCTCGCCTACCATGCGTGTGGCACTGGGTTTGATCCTCAGCACTACATAAAAATAAAATAAAGATATTGTGTCCACCTATAACTAAAAAATAAATGTTTTTTTAAAAAGTGTAAGTTCATGAAAAAGACAACTTCTTTTGACCTGTGGGCAGGTGCTGGGAGGTAGCTTTAAACTGCAGTCAGAAGACATGGGCTAGAGCTGGAGAAGACGGAAGATCCCTGAAGGCCTCTTTATGGGACAAGTCAGGGATCAGCTTAAATGACATTAGACTGAAGGAACTGAAGCTGGCATTGCATTGCTGTGTGATTGGGTGTCACGTTTGCCCTTGTGTGTAGGGAGGGAGCTTTGCCGTCAGGACTTCTCAGGTGTACTGTTTGTGCCCTGAAGCTCTGCGTGCTTGCTGTCGTCACAGGTCGGGGACGAAGGAGCCGGACACTTCGTGAAGATGGTGCACAACGGGATAGAGTATGGCGACATGCAGCTGATCTGTGAGGCCTACCACTTGATGAGGGACGTCCTGGGCATGGGGCATGAGGAGATGGCCCAGGTAGGTCCAGGGCACTGCCCCGCCTGCAGGGAGTAATCACTGCCCGGAGGAGAGGGGCTGGCACCCGCAATTAGCCCTTCTTCCTTCCTGGTCTCCGGGCTGTCTGCTGGTCTGCGTGGCCTCAGCTAATTTAAGGGAAGCCATCAGTAATGGGACCATAAACTAGGATAGCTGTGGCGAAGCAGAAGTTCCAGGAGCCCTGTTGGTGAGCCCACACACTCGTCATGCTGCCCTCCTGGACCCTGCAGTTGGCCCCCTGGGAGGACTGGCTTCCTTTGCAGTCAAGCTGGCATTTGATTTTTTTTTTTTTTTTTTGGTAACTAGGGATCAAACTTAAGGAACACCTGACCACGAGCCACACCCCTGCCCTATTGTATTTTATTTAGAGACAGGGTCTCACTGGGCTGCTCAGCGCTGCTGTTGCTGAGGCTGGCTTTGAACTCGGTCCTCCTGCCTCAGCCTCCAGAGCTGCTGGGATCACAGGGGTTGCCACCACATCTGGCTGGGATTTGCTTCTTGAGAGTTAATTTAAAAGTCGGTCCAAGTGGAAGCAGAAGCAGTTCCCTGGCATTTTGTTATGAATATATTCAAAGAGCGGGAAAGGGTCCTAGCGTGGGTGCACCCTGCTCTGCGCCGCCGCCTCTGCCAGTTTCATGGATTTGGTTGCATTTCAGTTAGCTGCAGGCAGGGGCCCTGCTTCTGAGTCCTCCAGCGGCATGAGGGGAGCAAAGACAGGAAAGCACGTTGACCCACCATCATAGAGCCAAGGCCTTTTTTTTTCTGACTTTTCCTGAAGTGCAGGGACAGAGCCCAGGCTTCCTGGCTGCTGTGTCTGGGCCCCAGCCCTGGCCAGCTCCTCACCCTCTTCTCTTTACTGCACCCTGTTTTGCTCACTTGCCTTCATTCTTCCCCAAACATTTAAGTTTCCATAGAAGTAGCACTTTTCCTTTTGTGTTCATATTTAATTGGTTTACATACTTAGTGCATTTATTCAGTAAACATGAGTGTTTAACTACATGTGGAGCACTATTCTAAATTTTGAATATAGCCGAGCTAGTGGCGCACACCTATAATCCCAGCTACTCTGGAGGCAGAGGCAGGAGGATCTCAAATTCAAGGCCACCTTACTAACTTAGGAAGACACTGTCAAAATGAAAGATTTACACGAGGAGTGGGAGGCTTGGGGTGTTACTCAGTAGTGGAGTGCCCATGAGTTCTGCCCCTGGTACTGCAAAAACAAACAAATAAATGCACAGTAGTAAAGGAAACAAAGTCCTTAGCCTCATGAGCTGGGAAGACAGACTTTAAATGAAATTATATAAAATTTGCTAGTGATAGGTGTTAACAAAGGAAAGAAAACTGGGGTAAGAGGTAGGATTTGTTTATCTGTTTATATTTTGAGGTGCTGGGAGTGGAACCCAGGGCCTCACCCATGCTGGGCAAGTGCGTCACCACTGAGCCCCACCCAGCTCTAGAGGCGGGTTTCAGGTCTGGGGTCTTGTAGGCTTCCTGGGAGGTGATGTGTGTTGGGAAATCCAAGTGAAGCGAGAGGCTTGCCCCTGAGGAGGGAGCGGCTTCCCAGGTGGACACCAGCACAGCTGAGTGACGTAGGCACAAGACTCAGTGGGCAGGAGTGGACGTTGACAGGCCTCCTGCCAGAGCTGCTGGCCGCAGTGTTGGCCATGTGAGCACAGGACAGGGCAGTGGGCAGCAGGAGTCAGCGGGGACCCGCTTGCCTCTCCCTCACTCTCTGCTCTGCACCAGGCATTTGAGGAATGGAACAAGACAGAGCTGGACTCTTTCCTGATTGAAATCACTGCCAATATCCTCAAGTTCCAAGATACGGATGGCAAACATCTGCTGCCAAAAATCAGGGACAGTGCGGGGCAGAAGGGCACCGGGAAGTGGACCGCCATCTCAGCCCTGGAGTACGGCGTTCCCGTCACCCTCATTGGTAATGTCCTGCTTTACCCCTGAGCCCTTTGGTCCCAACATTGGGTCTTGACATCCTTCAGGAATACTGATCTAGACGGATCTCCAGTCAGCTTTCAGAGTTTTGTTTTGTTTTTTTTTAAGTTTTGAATTGAACCCAGGATGCCTACCACTCGGCTGTATTCCCAGTGTTTTGTTTTGTTTTTTAATTTTGAGACAAGGTCTGGCCTTGTACTTGGAATCCTCCTGCCTCAGCCTCCTGAGTTGCTGGGATTATGGGTGTGTGCTACGTTGCCTGGCATCAGGCTGCTTTTTGATTTTTCTGCACATGAGAAAACTGACAGTGTGAGAGGCTGACCCTGCTTCCGGGTCTCCCATGATCCTGTTGTCCTTGTGGGCTTGGGGGGTAAATGCAGAAGTTCCTGTCCTTCTGGTCAATTTTACTTTTGGTATATTTTAGCATTTGTGATTTAGTTGTAGCCAGTGACCTAGGATCTCTGTAGCGGGTCAGGTAACTATAATTTTTGTAGAGAAGTTCACAGAATAACATGTTTATGTACTCAGAATATTGTGCAGGAGTTTTCTCCCAGATATTAAAAATGTAGAGCAGAGTCTATACATTTGAAGTCCTTGAATATCCTTTTCTTAAGTTCCTTCCTCTTTGACATCTAGAAGGAAGTTGCAATCCAAGCTAAACATCAAACTCAAAAAGACAGAAATAGAAAAAAGCAGAAGTAAACAGAAGACAGAATTAGGGAAAGTAAATGCTGGTTCTTAAGAATAAAGCAAGAGCCAGGTGTGGTGGTTCCACCAGTAAGCCCAGCTGCTGAGGAGGCTGAGGCCAGAGGGATCGTAATTTCAAGGCCAGCCTGGGCAATTTAGAGCTGTTTTGTAGCCCAGTGTTTGTCTAGCATGTGTGAGGCACTGGGTTCGATTCTCAGCACTGCATACATATAAAAGTCCATTGACAATTAAAAAAAAAAATATATATATATATATATATAATGTGTGTGTGTGTCTCTGTGTTGCTGGGGATTGAACTCTGAGCCTTATGCATGCAAGGCAAGGACTCTACCAACTGAGCTAAATCCCCAGCCCAACAACTAAAAATATTTTTAAAAAGTTAAAAATGGGCTGGAGAGGTAGCTCAGTGGAGGAGCACTTGCCCAGCGCATCTAGGACCTGGGTTCAAACCCCAGCACTGCAAAACAAAATGCAATCGAGGTACTTGTGATAAGACTGGAAAGAGGAATGAAAGCAGGGGCCACGCCCATGGAGAGGCGGTCTTTGCTCCTGGCTGAAGGTCTCCCCGAGGCCACACACTTTCCTGTTTGCTGCTCCTGATTCCAGTAGCCCTTCCCTTCCCCGTCTCCTCTCTCATCTCCTGATGAGTTTGCCTCACCTTGGGCAAGCACTGGGTGGCAAGAGGCAGGCAAGGAAGAGGGGGGTCCCTGGGTGGTGAGCTCAGGGAAGTGAGTCTGACCTGGCCAGACTTGAGTAACGGGAGAGTTGCCACACTCCCACTGCACAGTCCCTACGAAGCTTCCTTCCACAAATGCTAAGTCATCCTGAGTGTGCCTGCAAGGAAGGAAAGTGGTTGGGCAAGGGCAGGCGGATATCTGCTTAGGAGATGTTTGGAGTTCTACTGGTGTTCTCAGGTTATGGTGATACTCTTTCCTCAAAACTAAAATCTGTTAGTCCCAGAGATCTCAATGTGTTTTGTCTGGGTGGGGAGCAGTTAAAGAGTAATTTATTAGAATTATTACCAATTAAACGTTATATAGGATAATTTTTGAGGATTTTTGAATGTTTTAATATTAAAATTCTATATTGAGCCAGGCACGGTGGCACACACCTGCAATTCCAGCTACTCAGGAGGCTGAGGCAGGAGGACTGCAAGTTTGAGGCCAGCCTCAGCAACTTAGTGAGATGCTGTCTCAAAATAAAAAGTGAAAAGGGCTGGGGATGTAAATCAGTAGTGGAGCACCCTGGATTTGATCACCAGTACCAGAAAAACAAAAACTTGAAAGAAAGAATTTTTTTCTTTTAAGGGAAGACCAATATTGGGTCAATATTGAGTAATTCTGAATTATAGCTGTTTTGCTCCTTCATCTTCCTCAAAACTCCCTTGAGTCTCAAGTTGGTCTTTTTTTGAATATTTATATCCATGTTGGGAGACTGATGGGAGGTTTGGACGTCAAATGAACTGTTCAGACGTTCTTATAAAAATCTATTCCAACCAAGGTTGAATTTTGTGGCCAAAGGTTGAAATCTGAGCTTTTATATATATATGTATATCTTTGTTATCAATTTATTTATTATGTGGTGCTGAGGATCGAACCAGGGCCTCGCACATGCTAGGCAAACACTCTACCACTGAGCCCCAGCCCCAGCCCCAGCCCCAGCCCTTGAAATCTGAGCTCTTTTAAAACTAGGGTTTCTGGCCGCCACCCTCCACCCCCCACCCCCTCCCCCGCTCCCTCCTTCCTCCAGTTGGTGTGAACTTTGCTGATGTCCCCCACCCCCATGCCTCCGCAGGAGAAGCTGTCTTTGCGCGGTGCTTATCATCTCTGAAGGACGAGAGAACCCAAGCAAGCCGAAAGCTGAAGGGGCCCCAGAAGGTCCAGTTTGCGGGTGATAAGAAGTCATTCCTGGAGGACATTCGAAAGGTGGGACATTTGCTGGCCACAGGCTTCAAGGGTCCCTTGGAAGGTGGTGGGGCCGGGCAGCTGGCAGGAGGCACAGAGGTCAGCCTCCTCCGGGCCCTGGACTCCAGCCTGTTCCTGTACTGTGCGGGGGTTGCTTTGCGCGCTAACAGGCCCCGTGTCCTCCAGGCCCTGTATGCCTCCAAGATCATCTCCTACGCCCAAGGCTTCATGCTGCTCAGACAGGCAGCCACTGAATTTGGCTGGACCCTCAACTATGGTGGCATTGCCCTGATGTGGCGAGGCGGCTGCATCATCAGGAGGTGAGCGCGTGGCCCCCTGGGGCACATGGGGGTTACTTTTGTCCCATGTAGTCAGCCCTTGGTACCAGCGGATTCCACACCTGGGGATTCAACAGTTGCGGATTGAAAATGTTAAAAAAATACATATATATTGAGTCTAGGGCTGGGATGTAGCTTAGTGCCAACTGCTAAGCATGTGCAAGGCCCTGGCCCAGTGCCCAGTGCCATGGAGAGAAACCCGTGTCTGTGTTGAACACACACAGGCCTTTTTCTTGGTCTGTTCCCCAACAGTGTGGTATAGCACCCGTTCGAGCAGCATTGACCCTACAGTAGGTATTTGGTGTGGTACATCATCCAGAGGGGAGTTATCATGGGGGAGGACGTGCAAGGTCACCTGCAGACACTGGGCCATATAAGGACTTCAGAGTCTGTGGATTTTGGTGTCCGTGGGGTCCTAGAACCCTGCGTTGTGCAGACTGAGGGGCAGCTGTGCTGAGCCGCTGAGTGCCTGCCTGGGAAAGCTGCTCCTAGCTGCCCCGTGTCTCTGGCCTGGCCTCCCCAGGCTTGGGCTCTGTACTTTTCACTGACCTTTCAGCCAGCCCTGAGGGTGGGGATTGTGACTCTGGGCTCTTGAGGGCAGACATCAGTCTGTTCCCCTGCCTCCTGCCAGGCATTCAGCTGGCTAGGGTTAAGATCCATTGATTTTTTTCCCCCTCCATTATTTCAGTGTATTCTTGGGAAAGATTAAAGAAGCCTTTGATCGAAACCCAGAGCTGCAGAACTTGCTGCTAGATGACTTCTTTAAGTCGGCTGTTGAGAACTGCCAGGTACATAACTAACAGAGAGCTGTGGCCTGTGAATCGTGTTAGTGGGTTGCACCACTGGGGCATCTGTTTCATCTGCCTGTGAAAATCTGTCTTTTAGAGTGGAATCTGTCCCTCAGAATGTCCTTTGTCCTTGACTTTGCCTTCTGTGTGCAGGACTCCTGGCGGCGGGTGGTCAGCACCGGGGTCCAGGTGGGCATTCCCATGCCCTGTTTCACCACTGCCCTCTCCTTCTATGATGGCTACAGACACGAGATGCTGCCAGCCAACCTCATCCAGGTAAGCTGCGGAGAAGGATTGGAGTTCAACTTGAACCTGGCTGGTCCTGAGGGTCCATGCCTGCATATCACCCTCACAACTTAATTTCTTTTCTAGGCTCAGCGGGATTACTTTGGAGCTCATACCTATGAACTCTTAGACAAACCAGGACAGTTTATCCACACCAATTGGACGGGCCATGGTGGCAGTGTGTCATCATCTTCATACAATGCCTAATGGAACGGTCCTGCTCATGTGATTATGTGCACCGGGACATTCCAGGTGCCACATAGCACTCCTCACCTGGCCCTTGCCCTGTTCTCTGCTCGGACTTTCAGCCCAGTGTTCAAGCAACTCCTGAAAAAAGCCACACATTTATTTGTAGAGTAGTTCTGAGAGTCACTGTGCCCTCTGCCTTGCTCTTGAGACCGCCCAGGAGCTGGCCAGATGTGTGGCAGCGTGAACCACTTGAAACAGCTGTTGCCAGCTGTGCCTTGCGTGTGGGTGAGGCAGCAGCTCTTGGCACATGGGGAAGGGGCTCATGGGGTTTGATCAAACTGGAAGCTTTATATTCTGCAGGGGAATTCCCTGTGCCCTGCTCAGTCGCAGCACCTGGATTTATGCCTTTCCTCTCTGAGTCTCACCTTGGCCACACTGGGCCGTTACCTATTTAGCAGAAAGCTTTGCAGTGATTTTATTACATTTGGATTGAATTTTTCCTTGTAGCCTTGTAAATTTTTCCTCTTTCTTTTCTTAAAAATAAAGAAGAGACTCCAGAATAGCACAAGGAACACCAAATTAAGGATAATGATCAAATGTAGTGGGAGATGGGAGAGTCCTTCAGGGACAGGGCCTTCGGGTTATATTTCCTTCTTACCTTGGGCAACAGGTACATGGATGTTCGTTGTAACATTCCTTTTACGCCTTCTTGTCTGTCACAGGCTTCATAATAAACTTTTTAGAGAATTCTACTCAAGTGCGGGGCTCGTTGTGGTCTGGTCTTGTCCTTTCCCACGCCCGTCTCTGTGGCTCGGTCAAGCCCTGCTTTGCCTTGGGGGTTTGAGCAGGTCAAGCTGCTCCTTGAGCCAGGCTCAGTCACTCTGTCTTGTCAAGTGGCTGGGGCCTTGGGGCTGCTTCACGCCAGCAGTTTAGTTCCATTCCCAGATGATTTTTCTGGAATGCTTTAGAAAGTGGCCTGAGAATAGTGAGAGAAAACGGTGTGTTTGAACAGCTGGGGTTTATCATTTGACCTCTGGCCCAATCAGAAGATTGCAGGGATAGCCAGAGCTGTCATGGAAGAGGCAACGGTGTCCATTAATTGTCAGCTTAGAACTTTAGCCCAACCTGTGCCTCTCCCACTGCAACTCTGAGACAAGTTCCTCCTTAAGGGAGTTTTGAGGAAGATGAAGGAGCAAAAAAGCTATAATTCAGAATTACTCAATATTGACCCAATATTGGTCTTCCCTTAAAAGAACAGTAGTGCCACTGGGGGCTCTGTGTCAGAGGACCTGAAGGAAGGCTGACTGCTCCAAGATGAAATGCTAACCATCAGAAGGGGAACCAACTGCAGCCCCTCCCTGATAACTGTGCAAGTAAGGAAGCTGAGGCAGGAGAGTGGCAAATTTGAGATTAGCCTTGAGGGCTGGGATGGTGGCTCAGTGGTAAAGCGTTTGCCTAGCACACGTGAGGCACTGGGTTTGATCCTCAGCACCACATAAAAATGAAATAAAGATATTGTCTACCTACAACTAAAAAATAAATATTAAAAAATATATAAAAGGGGCTGGGGATGTGGCTCAAGCGGTAGTACACTCGCCTGGCATGCGTGCGGCCTGGGTTCGATCCTCAGCACCACATACAAATGAAGATGTTGTGTCCGCAGAAAACTAAAAAAAAAAAAAAAATTAAAATTCTCTATTAAAAAAAAATATATATATATATATATATATTTTTTTTAATATATCAGCCTTGATAACTTAGAAAGACCCTGTCAAAACATAAGTGCTGGGAATGTGACTCAGTGGTAGAGCATCTGCCTAGCATGGGTGAGGCCCTGTGTTCAACCCCCAGCCCACTGGGGGAACAAAAAACACGGTGAATGGGGGCTGGGTTGGGGCTCAGTGGTAGAATGCTTGCCCAACACATGTGAGGCACTGGGTTTGATCTTCAGCACCACATTGAAAAAATAAATGAATAAAATAAGGTTAAAAAAAAAAAAGCTGTGAATGATGGAGTTTGGTTTCAAATCCAACTCCTTTATTTGCTGTGTGGATTTAGGGGAAATTATTTACCATCTCTGGTCTCCGTTTCTCTTTGTAAAATGGGGCTAAGAGCACCAGCCTCCTGCAGGCTATTTGATGCTGCTCCAAGAGAAAACAGCTCAGTGCTTGGTCTGCACTGGGCACCCACGCGAGCGCTGGGTCCTGTCCCAGCACCTCCACCTCCGTCCAGTACAACAAACCACTTGGCTTTACTGACAGCCTTGCCCCATGTCTGGGAGCCTGGGTTTGGGTCTGTCCTGCCCTCTTGGCTCCTTCTTGGATGTGCTGCCTCACATGGTCGTTAGCCTCTTTGGATATGTCTTCTCCTCTTTGAAAAAGGCTGAAACAACACCCATCTCAGAGCTGCTTGAGGGTTACCGACAGGCCCTTGGAAAGGGCCTGCCACTGCTCCCTGGTGAGTGTCTGCCTCCTGCTGAGGTCATTGAAAAGTACTGGGCCTGGGTGGAGGTGGACACAGGCTACCCTCAGCCAGGTCAGTCCTGCCCAGTCTGACGGGCATAGTCCAGTGGCTACTCCAGCAAAGGGTTTCCCTCAGGCAGAAACTGTAGGCTTATCCAAAATAGACCATATTTTAGGTCACAAAGCAACTCTTAGCAAATACAAAAAATAAATGATATAATTCCTTGCATCTTATTTCATCCTGGAATGAAATTAGAAATTAACACAAAACCCTACAGGAGCTATATAAATACATGAAAATGGCACAATAGGGATTTGAATGATAAATGGGTAATAGAAGAAATCCAAGGAGAAATTATAAAATTCTTAGACTTGAATGAGAATGGTGATACAACACACCAGGACCTCTGGAACACTGTGAAGGCAGTTCTAAGAGGAAGGTTCACAGCTATGAGTGTCTCCATAAGAAGATCAGAAAGCTTCCAAATAAACAACCTAATGATGCATCTCAAGGCTCTTGAAAAAGAACAAACCAATTCCAAACCCAGTAGAAGGAAGGAAATAATTAAGATCAGAGACAAAATCAATGAACTTGAGAATAGTAATAAATAAAAAAATATAAAGTGTTGAGAGCCACAGCCAAAGGGGCCCCAGCAAACTTCCAGCTGCCGGCTGATGATTGGCTCACAGTGGCCCCAGCAACATCTAGCTGATTGGCTCCTCTGCGGTGATGTTCATTG